GAGAGAGAGAGAGAGAGGAGGAGGAGGAGAGAGAGAGAGAGAGAAAGAAAGAAAGGAAGGAAGGAAGGAAGGAGAGAGAGAAAGAAAGAAAGAAAGAAAGAAAGAAAGAAAGATAGATAGATAGATAGATAGATAGATAGATAGATAGATAGATAGATAGATAGATAGATAGATTTCCCTCACAGGCTGAAAAGATTTCTGAGATAATATATGTGAATAAATTTGTACTTCCTTTAAAAGTCAGCATAGGTATGTTTGTTAGCCTCTACCTTATCCATAGGGGATTCTGTATAAGCCAGAACAAAAATGTTAAAGTAAATTCCTAGTGATTTTTTAGAACTGATAAACAGTATGCATGCAACTTCACAATCCTGTGTTGTTTCAACATCAAACTAGTCTGAAGTTCTCAGAGTGTGGTTAATATAGCATCTTGACCTGGAATTCTAAAGGTACTGCAGAAAGTGAGACTGAGAAGTAATCCAGCTAGCATCCCTATGAATATATTTCAATATAGGTGTTTTCAACAAGGAATATCAAACCTAACTTTGGAACTGAATTATTTTTGTTAAAAAGGTATAGCATGGTGCACATTATAAGCCTTTTACATATATAGTTTTGAAGTGAGTTTTAAAGAGTTTAGTAAGCTTGTTGCTTTTGCAGTTGTCCCATATTTGTGCAGACGCTGTATGGTAATTACTTGGAGTTACAGAATAGGACGATAATTACTGTAATTCTTGTGTAACTGATCGGTATGCATGTTAAGCCTGCCCTTTCAAAAGCTTTTGCTCATAAGCATTCATTCATTCGTGCATTTGTTCATTCGTGGATTAGCTTCCTCCATTCATTTGTTTACTTTTCTGACCTATATACTTCGTTCTTCAAAACAGAAATACCCTTTCTCTAGATTTCTAATCTAGAAGTAAAGATTGAAAAGTTTTTCACTTGTGCTTGGAACAAGTGTGATTTTGGCTATTAGGAAAGGAAGATTTGGGGGAAAAAATTCAAATGGTGAAAAAACTGTGGAACTGGCTCATAATTGTTCAAGTGGGGTTTAGATGTCATCAAACGCTAAACTTTGATTCCGAAATAAGAAGCTTTAAGGGAGGGAACTGAATTATGATAATGCTGGCTACGGGTACAAATTGATAAATTGGATTTTTTTTCATTGTTTACAGTTTTTTACGTGAGGGTTATTTAGTAGTTTCCTATGAGTACAAGAACTGTACTGTATCAGACCAAAGGTTATCTAACTCAGATTGTTAAACTGCATACGTGATATTGCACTGGTCATTTCCTTAAAACAGAAATATGGTCTATGTACATCTAACTATGTACATCTAATATTATAAATATAAACGTATTGATTTCTTTACTTTGTAGTATAACAAACACCTCTTTGTGCACATTGGACATGCCAACCACTCTTACAGTGATCCATTGCTGGAATCAGTGGACATTCGTCAGATTTATGACAAATTCCCTGAAAAGAAGGGAGGCTTGAAGGAACTGTTTGGAAAAGGACCCCAGAATGCCTTCTTCCTAGTAAAATTTTGGGTGAGTAAGATATTAAGCAAATATTGCCTGGGTTTTGGATGTGCGCGTGTTTGCTTTTGTATTTTCTGAATGTTAAAAAAAAATCTTGACTGGTGTACAGAAGGTAGATGGAAGCATTTTTTTCTCTCTCTCTCTCTCAAAGTCTAATTCAGGCTCACCCAGAGAAATGGATTGACAGTAGATTCCAGACAGACAAAGAAGACACTTCACTTGCATTGGCTGCTCAAGATGTGTTAAGGGCTGTAGCTCAAGTGGTTTTTAAAAGAATAGGCATATGGAAGATAGGTCCGCTACTATATTTCAGTCGTGATTGGAGGAAATGCCTGTTCTTAAGAAGCAACAGTAGAAAAGGGACTGTTGTTTTTGTGCTCTGTTTGGGAACTTTTTGGAGGGATCTGGATGGCTAGAATGGAACATTAAGCTAGAAGGACTTCTGCTGTAATAGAAAGGCAGTGTTGTATAGTGGTTAAGGTGTTAAGGTGTTGCATTAGGAGGGGAGGTTCAAATCTAGTATCAGCCACAGAAGTTTACTCCATAATTTTGGAACAGCCACTATCTCTCAGTGCAGCGTTCCTCAAAATATGGTTGTGAAGAAAAATGGAGGAAGAAATGCTAGACATGCCACGTTAAGCTCTTGAAACTATTTGTCACAATATCCAATAATTATAATATTTGTTACTGTCAAGTCTTATCAGAGTTATCAAGTGTCACAGATCACCCATTGGATTTAACACATTTATTTTTGACCTTTCAGTCCTGAATATATTTATTTTCAAATTTTACCAATGTCCTTATAAAAAGATAACTATTATAATGATGCAAATCAGTTATAAGGTACTCTGGTTTGAAATCCTATTCCAAAACCTAAATGGCATATATTACTTTGTGTCTTTCTTTCAGAATTGTAGCATGAGAGATTTTCAGTTTCACAATCCCAGCTAGTCCTGGAAACACATGGATAATTTGCAGCTGTTTTTAACATGTTACTTTGACATTATATTTTTAGAAGTACATCCTTTACATCTAACAATAATATATATGCAAATCCAGTTTCATGCAATCACATTAAACTGGATTTTGCAAAAACATGAGTGGTATAGAGAGTCAACAGCTAAGCAGGCCCCAATTTGGAAGAATCCACCATTCTCCAGACTTGCTCTCCCAGCAGAGAAGACTTGCCACTTTGGAGCTGTGGTCATTTGTACTTTTTCAAACCTTCTTCCTAGCCTCCTTTACATTTTACTTCTCCCACTGTCTTGTTCCTAAGGATTTTTGTCTTTTTCCCCACATAAATTGTATTAACTAAAATGGACTATCTATGATCTGTATTTCTTTAGTAGTGTGCTTCAATGGCATAAGGTGTCTACTTCAGCTTTTCTTTATATTTTAGAAATGTGAAACACGGTTTGGAAGATGAATGTTATATCAGAAGGTGTTAATAGAGTGCAGCTAGATTTCAGGGAAGAGACGCTGTAGCCAAGAAGTTAGGCTAAAGAAAAAGTAATTAAGCTAAGGAAAGTATTTGACACATCATATTAGCTGCTCAAACCTTAGATTAACCTATTTTGCTAAGTACAACCAGGCACATTGGCATCCCTACTATTAATGCATAATAAGGTGATCATAAGAAAATTAAAAATGGAATAAAACAGCAGAATGACACAGTTATTCAATTACTCAAGTAGTGATAGCGAGGAGGGAACAATTCACAAGATATGAAAGCTAGCATGGTGTGGGAGTACATGCAGAAGAAGTTCCAACTGAGTGGTATTTAAAGGGATCCTATCCAACCTGGTGCCCTCTAGACGTGGAGCTACGACTTCCAGAATGTCCATGTAGTACACTTCTGAAAGTCACCAGGGAAATCCCCAATAAATTACTATTTTCTTTTCTTAGCAATGCAAATAGTAACTACAGTTGGCCAGATTGGGGTCAGAAATGTGAGTGGCAAATTGTTGAAGACTCCCAATTCCTGATACTCATTTCTGGAGAAAGAAAAATAATGTAGCCCCACTTTAAACTTAAAAGTAAAATGTGGCTTGAACTTAAAACTCATTGGCTTGAGAACGTTATTCAGTGCTGGTGATTGGATGAGATATAATTTGTACCTCCTAACCAGTATAGGTAAGACAAACTGAAGCAGTCAGAGATGTGATGTGATGTTATTTTTTTGCAGAATATTAGAGCAGGGATAGGCGTACAGTGAAATAACATATGATCCCATTTTTGGCTATTGTAGAAGACAGTGATAATTTTTTAAAGCTTTCTAAATAGCTATGCTGACTGAGGGCAGAAAATGATGTAAGCTGAAGGCCAACAATAGGGTTGGAGAAGGTGGCCCTATTGCATCCAGTGTACATGGAAATAGGCATGTATAATTGTCTTTCCCTAAGGTACTGTTTTTTCATTAAAAAACTTCACATGGTTTACTGCCTCCAGCTTTGGACAGCTGATAGTCCCTAGTTTAACCTGTGATGTGGGAAAATAGTAAAGAACTAGAACACACATTTTTAAAAAAACAAGGTTGGGGAAGGATGCAGAGCATGACTGTTTTTGCCAGCAGTGGCCATAGGCAGCCTTTGTATGTATGCAGCCTCCTTCTATGTAATGAAGCCACATGGCATGTATGTGTTTCTGCTTCCTGTTCATGCTGTATCTATGTGTGTATGTGTGCACTAGGAAGCACAGGACAGGCTGCATACCTCTATCCTGGATCACATGACCAGGAGTAGGGCTTAGAATGAAGCAAGTGACAGCACTCCAAGCCACTTCCCACCTGCCTTGGCATCAGAGGCTCTTTTCCAGAATGGTTTTCTCACAATGGAGCCTATTCTCACATGTCATATTGTAGAAAACTGCCATGCCCCAGTCCAGGAAAGTTATTTGGCATGCATTTATTTGGCCCGCATTTAAGCTCTATGGAAGAGCCCTCCTCTCAGTTCTGCCACCACTAGAAGCATATCTGGTGGGAATACAAGAAAATGAGTTTTTGGATGGCTATTTCTAGCTAACCAAGAGAGGTCAGGCTAGCAATCTTTCCATTCCAATAGAAGAGAATATGCAGTGCTCAATGTTGAACCGTGGGGTCCTTGGGGCTCTCTCAGCTTGGTAGTTTGCTTGCAGATGTTTCATTACCCAACTAGGTAACATCATCAGTGCTAGTGAGTGTGGGATTTGCTCCCTGTTTATTTACAGTAGCTTGCCCTGCCAGTGTGGGTGGGGTGTGTGGTTTTCTCTTTGGGTAGGTCCTTGATTATTATTTTCTGCTTGATTGTTTGTCTGGTGTGAATTCCTGCTTATCTGGGTGTTGGCTTGGTAGTCTGTTTTAATTTGCAAATCCATTTCAAAATTATGGATGTGTTAAAGTAGGAATCATATTAGGCCATAGTTAGGTTTTCTAAATTATGGTTAGCAGGATGTTAGAATTGAACCCAGTAAAACAAATGGAGTGCCTCTTATAATCCTTCAGGGAAATGTGTGAAAAATACCGCAAATAAAATAAAAGTTTTGCAATATTATCTTTCAATAATCAAAAACCCTTAAAGTCTCTGAGCTTGATTGTTTGCTTGCAGACGTTTCATTATCCACCTAGATAACATCATCAATGTGAGTGAGTGTGCGGTTTTCTCCCTGTTTATATACAGTAACTTGCCCTGCCAATGTCAGTGGTTTTTCTCCTTGGTAGTTCCTTGATTAGGGTATTGTTTTCTGCTTGATTGTTTGTCTGGGGTTAATTCCTGCTTATCTGGGTGTTGGCTGCTGGAGAGGATGTGTTCTGATCTTTTTTGTTTCCTTCTTAGCTTTTTTATTGTTTCTTTCAAATTGTGTCAAAATATGGTTTATTTCTGTATGTCTATTGATGGCTGACTTGCCTAAGTGCCATGCTTCCAGGAATTCCCTAGCATTTTTGGATTTAGCTCAGTCTAGGATGCTCACAGTTTCCCAGTTGAAACTATGGTTGAGTCTGTCCATGTGTTGTATGATTAAGGAGTTTTCATCATGTCTTCTGACTGCTAGCTGGTGTTCATGGATACGCTCTGCTAGTCTTCTGCCTGTCTGTCCTACATAGTGGCTGTTACAGTCCTTACATTGTTATGTTGTGGATGACTCTTTTTTCTCTTTTTGGACTACTTGGTCTTTTGGTTTACTTACGATGTTTTGGAGGGCTATAGTTGGTTTGGTTGCTACGGTAATGCTGTATGGTTGTAATCGTGTGTGGGTTGTTTCTTAGATGTTTTTGATGTGTGGTAGTGTTAATCTTTTCATAGTTTGTGTTGTGCTGAAGTGGGTTGAGTGGTCAGGCACTTTTTGATAAAGCTGTATGTGTATCCATTTTGTTGGAAGATGTACGGGTGGTCTGTTTCCTTTTTCTGGTGTTTTGGGTTGCTACAGTGCATTTGTACTCATCTGAATAATGTTTTTACATAGCTTCTTTTGTGGGAGGTTGGGTTGTTGCTTTGGTAATGGAGTACTTGGTTAATGTGGGGTTTTTTTTTCTTTTTGAAAGACTTTCTAATTTGCCATCATTTCTTTTGCTGATGAGGATATCCAGGAAGAGTAGTGTGTTGTTGTTTTCTTCTTTCCTTGTGAATTTTATTCCTTTGAAGAAAGGATTACAATCCTTTGAAATCGAAAAATGCTAGGGAACCTTGTTATTCAGACAAATCAGCCATCAACAAACACATAGAAATAAACCATATTTTCACACCATTCAAAAGAAACAATAAAAAAGCTAAGAAGGAAACAAAAAAACTAGAACACATCCTCTCCAGCAACCAGCACCCAGATAAGCAGGAATTAACACCAGGCAAACAATCAAGCAGAAAACAATACCCTAATCAAGGAATTACCAAGGAGAAAAACTACAGCCCCACTGACATTGGCAGGGCAAGTTACTGTATATAAACAGAGAGCAAACCGCACACTCACTCACACTGATGATGTTACCTAGTCGGGTAATGAAACATCTGTAAACAAACAACCAAGCTCAGAGAGCACCA